TTCAGATGTTTTGCCCTTCCCGGAGGACTGTTTCGTACTTTTCCCTCTAGGAGGATCGATTATTTCTGAATGGAGCGTTGCGCGGGACGCCGGGCCGGAATCCTGCCGATCCGAACTCCGTTTCAATCGACCAAATAGAGGCGAGCTCCGAAATGGGATTCGGCAACTTTTCCAACAAGTTTACCGAGAGCGGTTTGACTGTTCAGAGGGTGAAGCCCCTCCGGCCGACGCGAAGGGATGCTTAGACGTTCTCTTGTTAAAAAAAGAAAGAAGAAAAAGAAGAAGAAGAAGACGTTTAAAAAGGTCGGACAATTTTATTAAACTGATCAGTCTCGTCAGTATTTATCGTGCGCAGTGCCACTTGTGATGTCGAAGCAAACGCTATTATCGCCAGTCTAATCGTGGCAGCACGAGGCAAACAAATAGGCGTATCTCTGATCGATGACGAAACCAAGGAAAACGGAGAGACCGGTCGTGTTGACTCGACTGATAAAACGTTCTCAACGTAACAGCTAAACGAATAATTACGTAGCAGAAACAGATGAACGTATCTTGAATGTTCATTGATCGGCGCCCGAAATCTTTGAGACAATGAAATGAGCATTCCGCGCGGTATACTACTTAATCGTTGAATAATCCATAATCCAATGGCTGTCGTCGACAGCGACGGGAACAATAAGGGTACGTAAACAATGGGGAGACAGTCTCGAAAAAGAAAGAAATTGAACGAGAACTCCCCCGGGTGTCTGTGAATAGGACGGAGACGTCGATGACAACGACACAAAAGCTCGAGGCTCCTTTGAGAATACTCGAGGTGCATGCCGTAATCACCGTTCGGTACTCTAATTTTGGATAGCCCCGAGTCAAAACGATCCACGGGAATCGATAACGCTTGCGCGTGACGAACCAGCGACGGTGGCCCGATTATTTCCATAAGGCGCGCGTCTTTAACGGCGATCCTTCATATATCGGGCGGCCCCGTTGGCCTCCCGGCCCCTCGGCGGTCCTCGCCACGGTTCAGCTTCAAAATTAGATTCTGCGAACGTGCCGGAAAACCGGCCAGTCGCCGCGTCGAATTTATTTAGCGGTGGTGTGTGCGTGGAAATTTATTCATTGTCACCCGCCGCTAGGCGGAAACTCGGCGTACAGAAATTCCATTGCGAATAATTAATAGCGAAATTCTAACGTCTGCGTAAAAATTAGAAGACCTGTGCAGACCGAGTGGCATAA